AGGGGGGTTGGACTAGATGACCCACAGAGGTCCCTTCCAACCCCTACTATTCTGTGATATTCTGTGATCTGGATGATAGAACAGAATGTTTCTTTAGCACCTCTCATCCCCAAAGACTGTAAAGTAGTTAGCATACAATGCGTCAGACCCTGTTATACCACAGTAGTGCAGGTGAGATCATGTTTTGGCCCCACAACTCAAGAAGTCGCTTACCGCTGAGAAGCGGCCACCTCTGGCAAGAAACATGGCAACTGTTCTGTAGTGGTTACATGGCTGAAGTGTACAGTCATCTGTGGGCTGGGGCCAGCTGGGAGGAGGAATCCAGTGGGGTCCCACAGGACACTCTTCTGGCTCCAGCATTATAGTGTAATGACTTGGAGGGTGGTGTGGCGGGAGAAAGCATCGGACAGTTCAAAGCTGGGAGGGAACTGTGGATACTCTAGAGGACTGGCATCCATCCAGTGCTATCTAGAGATGTTCGTTCTTCTGGTTTCTTTAACAGAACCCAAGACAGCGTTTCCCCAGGCTGGTTACACTCAGCCTTGTTAAAAGCAAAAATTGTGACACTATTGACCATGCCAAATTAGAGATGACAGGAGACAACTACTTGCACTGCTTCAACCCTTAGTCATAGCCACAGAGCAAGGCTACTGCAATTAAAAAAAAAAAAAAAGTCTGAAGAGTCAGGCCAGGGCAGGTGAGACCCTTTAGAATCAGACCATGATCAGGAAGTGACAGGGGAGTATTACTTGCCTCAGGGAAATACGCTCTGATGAGCATAGTCCAGACACCTAGAGACCTGTTGGCTTTGCAGACCCTTCACGTCCTCAACCAACTTAAACATATTCCTGACTCTGTCACTGCATTTACTTTGTTTCTGCAGGTGCTGGGCTTATACAACACGCTAAACCCTGAGGCATCCGCTTCGCCCTGCTGTGTCCCCCAGGACCTGGAGCCGCTCACTATCTTGTACTATGTCGGGAGGACCCCCAAAGTGGAGCAGCTCTCCAACATGGTGGTGAAATCCTGCAAGTGCAGCTGAAAGGCACCCTGGCCCACCCAAAGCCAAGAGAGAAACTGTCAGCACCCACTCGCCTGCTCCCAGGCTAACACAAAAGGAACTGGGGGTCAGAGACTAGGCATGCTGAGGGCCAAGTGCCAAACCCTGTGGCTTAGGGTCTGGCAGCCCTTGGGGATCTCTTCTGAGATTTCTCAACATTTCTTGATCTTGTTGGCAGTGACATGTTCCTTCTGGGAGTTACTTTGGTGACACGAAGGCCACACTCTCCAAAATGGCTGGACAGTTGGTGCGGAAGAGAACTGGTGGAGGAACTGCTGTGTATTTGAATGCTGTGTGGTTGAGCTGGGAAAGCAAGGGAATGAGAAAGAGCAGGTGAAAGGGGAAATAGAAATGGGGAGATGTTTTCTGTTACACCTTTAGCTATCTTAGGACCTCAGCCCTCCCCACTGGCCTGAAGAAATAAAGGTTTCCCCTGTAGGAGGAAACTTTGAAAGTTTCCTTACAGAAAGAAAGTGCACCAAGAAGGGAAGCTGCTGAGAGAAGAAATGCTCAGAGATAGACTTTTGTTCCTCAGAGCTGTGATCCAGGAGTCCTGCAACTGAAACTGCATCTGCCAGACCTGTAAGTTCAGCTGGCAGGTCCTGGCTACTGGTTTCTAAATGCAAACTGCAAGGCTCTCGGCCAACCTGCTGAGGGTGGGCAAATACAAGGAAAGAGGGTGCTGAGTCCATTTTCAGAGGGACTGATGTCTCTATTCAGCTCTTTTCCCTTCCTGGAGTTTCTGAGAGATGGTTTCTGGGTCAGGGCAGGAGCAGTATCTGTGGGTACCTGAATATTGGGCCTATTCATTTGTGAGCTGATGCACCCTGAGGACCTCTTGTCTGTTGTGGTTTGTGAGGTCCTTTGGCATGTGCTGCACCTGTTCTGTACAATGACCTGAGCGTGGCCCAGGCCTCACCTGCCAAGACTTAAAAAATAGTAATCTCAAAAACATTGTAAAAAATAAATATTTGGGGGGGGGAAGATGCTCTTTTTTTTTTCACGAGCAAGTCGTTTGTTGGAGGGTTAGATGGTTTGCTGTTTTTAAACTACTGCTGTGGCATAGTCAGTCTTAAAATCTTTCCCCTTTCCAAAATGTCTCTTCAAAGGAAGAGACAGAATTTAGCTCAGCCAGAGCGCCCCAGAGTGGAAATTCCTTGGTACCCTCAAACAGCCTGGTTTATATGTGCCCTGTCCTGCCCTAGTGTTTCAGACATGTACGTCACCTCTGGCATCTGCTTTTGGTAGATTTATATAAAGATCCCTTCAAATGTAAAACACTTCCAACAATACTGGTTGAATAACCAGGGCTGTGCAGTTGCCACAGCTGACAAATGTCCTGTGTCCATTTGAGTATATATGGTCTGCCACTACAGCCTTGTACACACAGGTGAATAACACACCTCTCCTCCCGATCTACCACAAACATTGCAGATGCTCATAAAAAGCTCACAAATGTTGCCCAGGCAAGAAATCAATGTACTCTTTTTAAAAGCATGGACTTTTTCAGCCATAGATGCTCCCAAAAGTAAGAATCTCTGGTGTTTGCATGCCACGTGAGACTCAGAGGCTGCCTCTCTGGCTCTCCGCAACTACTTAAAGTCCTGTTCTAGAGACCACAGAGGTTCCTCCCTGTCCCTTCCCCATTCCTGGACCCCAGCAACTGACTGTAAAATGAGACCTAGCTGGTTAATCGCTTGTAGCCAGGGCTCCTCATGGTCAGCTCAGAATTCAGCTCTTCTGTCAAGCACTTCACAACAGTGGCTGCTTCCATATACCTCACGTGAGGCTGCCGTGACATGTAATCTCAAACATCTTAATAAACTCTAAACAGCCCTTCCTGCACCATCACTAGCTGGCTAGAGGTTAGCAATGGTGGGTCAGTGGAGGGAGCCTACCAGCCCGTGTGACATTTTGGCTGGGGCACAGATGCTCTAATAGAGGCACTCCCCAACACTTAGCTTTAGCCCTTTCATCTCTCTGAGGCTCCCTGACCGGTCATCAGTGTGATGATGAAAGGTGCAGCTCTGCACAGTCCTGCAGCACTATGGTGTTCCTGTGCCCTGTACAGCTCTCCATGCCCATGCTTCCCCCCTGCCTGCCCAAGGAGGGAGCAAATAAATGCATTACGACCACACTACGACCACACTACCGTGCTGACAGACAGGCCAGAAATTAAGTGGCTGCACTGGGGGGTGGGGGGAAATGCAGATGCCAATTAGCTTAGGAATTCTCTGTAATCTTTTAGCAGCAGCCCCTGGGCAGGTTTTGTTTTACAGGCTGTCGTCTGTTCTTTGGTCATTGTTTCTCCTGAGCCCTGCGCTGGCTCTGCTGCCCATCCAATTGAAGGCCTTCCTTACTATTTAAAGGGGGGGGGGGGACACCAC